ATAAGTGGGATTCTTGTTGTAAAATATGTTATTATAAAAAATGTCAGATTCCTAAATTGTTTTTAACTGGAGCACATATTGCTTGAAGAAGTTGAAGGGGTGGAGGAATGAAGAGATGTGGGCAGTGTTTCTCAATTTGGCAACTTTAAGATGGACTTCAACTCCCAGAATTCCCTAGGCAGCATGCTGGGTTTCTGAGAGTTGAAATCCACATAGTTTAAAGTGACTAAGGTTGAGAAGCACTAATATGAGTTATCAATTAAGAACTCCCTACTCAATTAGAGATGTAATCCTGCCCCATTACCAAGTATCCCGAGGTGCTTTTCTTCCTCCGTCTGCTCTTTCTCCACACGAAAAGTCCCATCCGTATATTCAACATATTTGGCTTTCCAATATGTCCCTCCAAGTTGACTGGCATTTTCCTTAAAGAAAAGCTGTGAGAAACTGAACACAAACAAGACCACAATGACTTCCTGCTAGACCAGGAAGTCTCAAGCAGATCCTTGAGTCCTGGAGAAAGAGCCAAAAAGGGAACCTCGGTGGTGACATTTTCCTGCAGATGCTCAGTTTTCAATTGAACTGGGCTTTGTCATAACTGGCTTAGCTTGGCACAGTGACCCCCACTCTGTCAAGGATGTGGGAGTACTCATCTCTAATGATGTAAGTGCCAGAGCCCACATTGCCAAAACAACATTGCCAAAAAGGCATGTTGTGTAGCTTCTGCACTGGTAACACTGTACTACTAACTAGAGCATACAAAACATTTGCTGGACCAATTCTCAAATACAGCTCATCTGTCTAGAACCCACACTGCATAGTGGACATTAATACAATCAAGCAAGTCCAGAGATATTTCACGAGAAGAGTCCTCCACTCCTCTGCTCACAACAGAATCCCTTATGCCACCAGGCTTGAAATTTTGGGCTTGGATAACTTAGAACTACGCTGCCTTCAGTCTGACCTAGGCAAAGTACATAAAATTATCTGCTACAATGTCCTACCTGTCAATGACTACTTCAGCTTCATCTACAACAATACACGAGTACACAGTAGATACAAACTCAAGGTAAAACACTCCAAACTCAATTGCAGAAAATACAACTTCAGCAACAGAGTGGTCAATGCCAGGAATGCACTACCTGACTCTTTGATTTCTTCCCCAAACCCCCAAAACTTTAACCTGTCTACTGTCGACCTCACCCCATTCCTAAGAGGTCTGTAAGGGGTGTGGATAAGCGCACCAGCGTGCCTACCATCCCTGTCCTAACAACCCCATTTATTCGTATCCATTTCATGCATTCATAATCTTCTATACACTTATATCTATTATCTTATATACGCTTGGCAAAACAAATAAATAAAATAAATAAAAATGTAGGTTTGGGAAAACACATTTGAAACCTTGGACCAAAAAGACTTACCTGTCTGGCTCATGCAGGCGTTTCCCTGTACCTGGGTCTAGTCCAGAAGGCCCGTAATTCCACCGCACTTCTTTGGCTGCTATGTAGTATTGCCGTAGTTTCCCGCTGAGGGCAGGTACTGAACCCTGATAGGAGCAATGCTTGACTTCATAGAGAGCCTCCATTCCCGCTGGGGAAGCCAAAAAGAGACCATGAGAGACTGAGCCTCAATTCCCATTTTTTGTCAATTAGTGGAGAATTTGTGGGGGAGAAAAGAGAGCAATTCAGAGGATTCAGTAAAAGAATTTGTATAAGTTGGGTTAGCTGATTGGCGATGTGGCTCATTCAATCCGCCATGGTTTTTAAAAAAATAATAATTATCATGCTCCTTTTATGCTGTTATTTGTACTGAATGGTACCCAAACTCAGCTGGGCCATGCCTAAATTGAATGAATTAAATTGAGCTGTCCAGTTTTCCAGATACAAAGGACTTGACAATCTCTCTGCACATTAGAGATCCATAAGAACAGAGCAACTTTGGAGCTTAAATGTTCAAATCAGAAAGTCATTAAGGGATCTCTTTGATTCTCCAGTAGTCTTCTCCATTTCTGTTCATAGCTGGATTGTGTTGCCAGCATTAAAGACTGCAAGGTTCCTCCAAAAAGTATCAGAATGGAGATACAGTTATGACCCCTTTTCCATTTCTGATAGACGCCACACCAATATTCCCAAAATTGTTATTATGGTGCTGCAGAGACCATTTACTTTTTCAGCATGTACTGGAGATTCAAATTCATGGGGATGAAGGATGTGCTCCTGAACAGCAGTAGAGTGCCATTCCCTCCTCACTCTGCGGCCAGCTAGAGATGGTTATTTGCCAGTTCTCTGAACTACACAAAATTTCAACCTGCTGAATTTCACCCCTGGTGCTCACCTTGCAAGTGGTCAGAGACCTCGCAGGTCAACAGCCATTTCCCAACATTGTGAGGGACCATTTCAGCTGCCACAAAGGTTGCTGGGAAAAGGGAGGCCACGTCAGACCGGTGTCCTCGACTGATCAGCGTCTGTCCGTGGAAGAAGGCAGTGTGGACATCAATCTCACTGCCCATCCCAAAGAGATGCCATGCGACCCGATCTCCGGCACACATCGTGACCTCAGGGAGGTTCCCAAAGACGAAACCATTAATGGCTGCAGAAAGAAAGAGAAAAGTAGCAGTGTAGGAGGAGGTTCCCAGGGGTCACCCCTGGATAAGGGGCACTTCAGGACAGAAGTACCATGGGTCCTTTCCTTAAATAAAAAAAAAGAATTATAATTGCATTTTTCTAAAAAACAAACACAATATATTGTTCCCGTCTCTAGAGGGTGGTGCTCATCTCCATTTCAAAGTTGAAGAGCCACTCCCTCTTCTTTGTGGAAGCCTCTCAAATATCAGAACACTGCTATCATGTCACCCCTAGTCCTTCTTTTCATCAGATTAGATATATCCAGTCCCAGCAACCGTTCTTCATATATTTTAGCCTCCAGTCCCCTAATCCTCTTTGTTGCTCTTGTCTGCACTCTTTCTAGAGTCTCAACATCTTTTCTACATCGTGGCGACCAAAACTGAATGCAATATTCCAAATGTGGCCTTGCCAAGGCATTATAAAGTGGTATTAACCCTTCACGTGATCTTGATTCTATCCCTCTGTTGATGCAGCCTAGAACTGGGTTAGC